TGCAGGCTTGAGGTCCATTCGAGATGCCCATTAGAAGCATTAACAAGCCGGGCCTTCCCTCACTCCCTAATGGACTGCATGTGGGCCTGCCGCACTAATGGGTGCTCAGCCGCAAAGAAACAGACAACCGCTAATGCCCTGTTCCTTCCTATGTGGATTTTAAGGACAGATGAAGTGCTTTCATTATCTCCATTCGCAGACTTACAAATGCCTGGATTACTGAGCCTGGCCAGCCCTGGTCATGAGCATGAGAAAGGGTATGGGACTGGCATACAAAAGCATCATCCGTGTTGTCAACAAACAGCGTGCTGGGCTCTGGGGTATGTCAGAGCAGATGCTGAACCACCTGTTAACTCCCGGGGGGGGGGGGGGGGTGGCAGGGTCACCGTGCCTTCAATACTGGATCACAGGCCTGGAGAAAAGAGGCTCTCTGTCACATAAATGGTGTGGAAGTTAAAATTTACCAAGTACAGTGGGGCCTTGACTTACGAGTTTAATTCGTTCCGTGATGGAGCTCGTAACTCAAATTATTCGTATGTCAAATCAAAAAGTGAACGAGTGAGACACGTGATGCTGGGCTGATGTTGTGGCGTTCACTGTGACGTTCGCTGCGCCAACTAGCGGTGGGGTATCTGAAGCTGGCTCGTAACCCGAATTTTAGCTCGCAACTCAAAGCAAAAAATCGGCCGAGAGACAGCTCGTATCTCGAAAAACTCGTTAGTCGGGACACTTGTAAGTCAAGGCCCCACTGTATAGCAGGAGACAGCCCTGGGGTAGGGGCACAGAGAGCATGACTCCGTGTGCCTCTCATTCCTCATGGAGACAGTGTGGTTGGAGACACTAGAGCAGGGGTCCTCAAACTTTTTAAACAGGGGGCCAGTTCACTGTCCCTCAGACCGTTGGAGGGCCGGACTATAGTTTAAAAAAAAAACTATGAACAAATTCCTATGCACAATGCACATATCTTATTTTGAAGTAAAAAAACAAAACGGGAACAAATACAATATTTGTATTTGCATGTGGCCCACGGGCCGTAGTTTGAGGACCCCTGCTCTAGAGTTCCCACCAGTCCAGAGTGAGGTCCTGCCAGAGCCCGAGAAGCCCCCAGTGAGCAGTGACCAAGCCATTTACCCCCCACTCTGAGCTCAGATCTCACTCGGGTCTTCTCCCTCAAGGAGGGAGTACAGTGTACTTGTGGAGAAAGGGAATGACTACTGGTGACTTGGGACGTTCTTAGGACTCTCGACCAAGTTCCTATCCCCCTCCTTCGGCACACGTGACAGGACTGTACTTCTGGACCCTTGAAGTTAGATGTGGCCAAGAGACTTCCTTTGGACACTGAAATGTCAATGAAAGTTACATCTATTATTTCAGGGGAAATTAGACAATAAGGTAAGAAGGAATATTTGAAGAGACAATGGCTGAGTATTTTCCAAAACTAATGGAAGACACAAAGCCACAGGATTCAAGAGGTCTAACAAATAAACAAAAAGGAAAAATAAAAAGAAATTCACTATTCAACATCAGAGTGACACTGTAGGAAAACCAAAGGTGAAGAAAAATTATTTAAAACAGATGTATGAAAAGAAATAGCTTGGTTACCTTCAAAGGAAGTTAGGTATCAGTGGAATATTGGATTCTCAGCCAGAGTGGAAGTTAGAAGAAAGTGAACTTGGCTTCAATAAGAAAAAAGAAAAGAACACAACTATATGCAGCACAAATATCTCTTACGAATGAGGGAGGAATAAAGACATTGTCAGACAAACAAAACCAAAATAAAAGGCAAACTTCTAGCAGAAACAACATTCTCCTGCATGCACCCTCGTGGGAGGTCTGATACACAAACAGAGGGGAGTCAACATGAGAACAAGTAGAAACAAACTTTGCCGATGTAATACGACAAGAGGAAGAGTCTTGTCAAGTTTTTAAACTTGGGCTTAAAATACTTACGGACTTACAGTTGTGAGAACGTGACAGAACTTATTCTTGTGTTACTCCCTCTGTCCCATAATAATAGTAGCAAGTGAATATTTAAACGGGAATTAATTGGCGAACGCAGCTGTAAGTTATGTTGTAGCGCAAAATTGCGAAGCCTTCAATCAAAATCAATGTTTCATGACATCTGTCATTTGTTTTGACACATCTTTCAATTTTTAGGTTAATCTAATTATTACGAATTATAACTATTTTTCTAATTTCATCCGCTGATCGAAATCAATTGTTTTATTTCAGTTGAACATCAACCCATTGTAAAAGTAAGATGAAAAAAAGAGAGTTTTCAAGCAAAGATCGAGTTGCGATTGTCCAGTTCTTGATGCATCAAAAGAAAAAGGAAAAGTTGCAAAAAGGTGCAATTTCGTTAGCTGCAAAACAATTTAAGTGCAACAGAATGACCATATCAAGAATTTGGAAACGTGCTTCCGAAAATAATTGTCAAGGAGAATCTTATGCTAATGTTGATTCTTTGAAAAAACAAAACTGTGGACATAAATGCAAAGATTATGGAGAAAAACTTGAAAAACGTAGACATATTCCCCTTAGCAGAAGAGGCACCATATTAGCCTTTGATAATATTTCTCCCGAAATACTGGATAATACGTTTCTGTCACTTCAACAAGTTATGCTGGAAGCAATGAAGAACGATGGCTCCAATAATTTTAAGCTCACGCATATAGGGAAAGCAAAGCTTCGCAGCCAAGGGACCCTACCTACAAGTTTAAAATGCAGTAACGAAATTATTGAAAAATCCAGAAACTATCTGAACACTCAAAATAAAAATTAGGAGTACTATTTTTAATTTATTGTTTAATTTAATCTAGTTTTTTGATAATAAATGTTGTGTTCTATATTTATTTTCTTTTGCTACTATTATTATGGGACAAATTACATTCATCAACTGCTACTATTATTATGGGACAGAGGGAGTATTATTTACCATATGAACTGTAAACCTACTTTTGCCCACCCCTGTACAAGGAACATTAACGTCAGTAGGAGTTAATGAAGAAAAGGCTCTTTATATCAAAAATCATATAAATGTAAAAGGATTTAGCACCTATTTAAAAACATTCATTTATCTCAAATAAAATCAATACTAACCAATACTTTTAAGCCAGAGATAGTGAATATGTGAAACATGTCACTACGACCCATTCTGTGCTCATAACAGACATAACTAATCAATCACAGCACTCTTTCCTGAGCCTTGACAGTATCCTCAGAATCCTCAACACAATGCTCCAGGCTGTCACTACATATGGGAAGTCCGCAGTCTTGACAGAGCCCCCTAAAGGCAGGTTCCCCACTTGGCCTATTGTCCCCTCAAGGCCTGATTCGAGGTGTTTCAGGAAGAGTAAGGAAATGCAGGGGCTCAAGAAAAACTCCTGCCTGGAGGTGGGGGCAGAGGGGAAAGGGGAGACCACGAAAGAGAGGAATGTCTGTTCCACATCCCTGAGCTGGATCTCAGCCACCTGTTCCCTCCTCAGTCCTCATTCCTAGCCTCTACTGGGCCTGACTCCAGAAAACATCTGCTGGTGGACACACTCTTACAGGGACCATCATAAAAACACTTGTTAACAGGGACAGTGACCACAGCAAGCGAGTGCTGGGCTGGGTGCCAGTGACAATGACAAAGGAGAGCTGGCAAGTGGACTAGGCAGCCCCACCAGCCGTGGGCGGCAGGCAAGCTTTCCAAGTTTACGCAGGGTTCCTGGCAGAGGGGCGCCTAGCAGAAAAGCCGTGTCCTAGGACAGCGGAACTCTGGCATGGCAGAGGGAGGAGAAGGGAGCTACACTGGGGCCAGGTCCCTTGCAGATATTTTTAGATGTCCTGGTCACGACACTAAGGGGCAAGTTTTTATTGCCAATATTCAGATGTGAAGCATCCCTTGCTCTGAGAAGTGGCTATTATAGTTGGGTCGCCGATACACCAAAAGGTTGAGGGTTCGATTCCCAGTCAGAGCACATACCAAGGTTATGGGTTCAATCCTGGGTCAGGGAACACACAAGAATCAGCCAATGAATGTACCAATAAGTAGAAACAACAAATCAATGTTTTTCATACAAATAAAAATTTAAAACACAAACAGGCAAAACAAATCTGTGGTGTTGGAAGTTGGGATCATGGCTAACCTGGACAGGGTGTAGAGGGGCCCTCTGGGGGGCTGGTCACGTTCTATTTCTTGGTCTGGATTCTGGTAACATGCGTCCACTTTGTGGGCATTCATCCAGCTGTTGTTCACTTGGGATGTGTTGCACTTTCATGGAAAGCCGTTAGAAACTGACCCTACACCTGAAGCTTATCCTACTGCACTGCACTGCTTCCCTGGCTGGAAACTACCAAACAGATGATTCCAGTGCAGCCTTCAAGTCCAGGGCTGGGTTCAAGTCCTGACTTGGTCACTTAATAACTTCCGCTCAGGGCTCCCAGCAGAAGCATTGACACTAATCCTTCGTAGGGTTTATTGTGTATAAGGAATGAGAAAGCTTTTGTGATAACATCCAAAGAGTCCATATTTTCTGAGCCCCAAGTATGTTCTCGCCAATCCCTTCAACAACTCTGAGAGGTTAATGATTCTCCCCATTTCACAGCCGAGGACTCCCAGGCTCACAGCAGGAGAGACACAACTAGAGGTGGCCAAGCCGGGTTCCCAGCTGTGTGATCCAAAGGCAGAGCTGTATCCACAGCTGCCAGGAGAGCCACAGAGAGTTGCCGGGTGTCCTGGGGAACAATCAAGACACAGGCATAGTCACAATGCCTCTGGATTCCAGAATCTTTCATCCCACTTATCCCAGCAATGGAGCTGGCTGCTGAGAAAGGGTCACTTCTCCCATCCCAGGAGGTGTTCAAAGGTCAGACAACTGCTTAACGAGGATGCTGAAGAGGGAGCCTAAAATCAGATAAAAGGACCTTCCAAGCCTTCAAGAAGTAGCTATGGCCCACTTTACCTACTGCTGCAAACACACCAACGACCACAAGGTGGTGAAAGAGTAGCACCATCATTGCAAGGGAAAAGGCAATTTTATTCTTTCAAGAACACACACCAACAGGGTGAGAAGAAACACACAGGCTATGCCTGGTCCTAAGCAGGGGTCTGAGATGAGGCCGGGCCTAACCAGAGCGTGGGGCCCCCTGTGGCCCTGGGAAGAGGACTTCGTTCTGTTAGCACCAGATACTGCTGCAGGCACAGCTGCATGCAGACAGGACAGTGGCGGTCCTTCGTCTCCACCTGAGAGATCTGGGGCGGGGCTGGCAGCAGAAGGCTCCCTGCAGGTGGCCACCTGAGTGTGGTTCTCAAATTCACAGACCAGCCTGTCCCCCAGCCCCCTGTAAACATGAGAGTGGGCTCGTGACTGCCAAGCCCCTCAGGACAAGATGAGGGTCCGAGACGTGTGGCTGGGCTTCAAGCGGCCCAGGAGCTGCCGGGCTTTCTCCTGCATGAAGAGCTGGTCCCTGGTCCCCCCGCAGGCCACCATCTTCCAGGCACTGGTCATCTGGGAGGAGGCAAGAAGGTTACCATCCAGGCAGGGGCAGCGCGCTCCCAGGGAATCCTGGTGGAAGCGAGCCTGCTGGGAGGGGTGGGGACCGTTTCTATGACTCTCCCTCGGGAAGCCAATCTCCTTGTGCTCTCTCCTACTTCCTGGGGAAGTCACTCCTGCCTCTGGGCATGGAGGCTGGACCACAAGACATGACCACGCCCCTCTGTGGTACCAGCTTCCATGTGAGGAAAACCTGCAGCCATGCAGGTGGGGAGGAGGGATTCACACGTGCAGGAGCAACCAGGGCAGCCTCTGTCCTCAAGGACCTCAAGGACAGCCAGGTGCTAAGCAACTAAATACAGACAAGTGAGACCCCTGCTGTAAAAAAGGGACTTGTGGGGAGGGGGGGGGGTGCCAGCATGAGGGCTCTCTGAGGGAGTGGCATCGGGACTGAGAGCTGAAACCTAAGTTGATCAGGAATCCAGGCAGAAGCAACAGCCTGTGCAAAGGCCCTGCGGTGAGAGGGCAGCAGAGCAAGCCCCCCAAGGTGGTGCCACACTTGCGAACAGCACTCACAGGAGCAGGGGCAGGAGCAGGGGCAGGTGCAGGTGCTGGTGCTGGCAGGTGGCTTCTGGGCTTCTGGGCCGCCGCCAGCTTCTCAGGCTTGGCCTGCAGGAAGCCCTGGTTGAGCAGGCTGTTGTCTCCTCTGATGCCTGGCAGGATGAGGCTGGAGGAGCCTGATGGCACATGTGTCGGCTGAAATCAAAACCAAGTGAAAGACACTATTTTGCCACATGTTCAAAAAGTACCCACGGTCACATCCCCCAGTACCACACCCTCCTGGGCTGTGGCGACCTGAGGCACGACTTTAGCCTCTAAGCCTCAGTTTTCTCTTCCAGGTGGGGAGATCACGTGAAGATTAAGGCGCTATTTGGAAAGTGCCTGTTTTGGAGCCCAGCACCCAGGACATGCTCAATAATGCTGGGTCCTTTTCCAGGAAGCTGGCTCCTCCCTGCCAGCATCAGGTGGAGACGAGGGTGCTCTGGTTTCTCCCGGGTCCCCGGCCAGTCGGAGCGATGCTCTACCAGCACCCCGAGGAGCTGCACCAAGCACCCAGGTCTGTCCAATCTCCCCACTCATCTTGGCCTTTACCCTCCTCACAGTCTGATGGGCTCAGGGCCCTTGTCACAGGCAGGGCCTGAGGATCGGGGCCTTGAGAGATCTCAGAGAGCAAGTGCTGGGCCGGAACTCAACCCAGGTCCACCGCTCCAGATCCTGTGCTCTTAACCACTTACCAAACGGTTCTTCTTTCTGGTAATTACTTTATGTGCCCTACATGATGCCAGCTGCAGGTCTGGCTAGAGGGGACCAAGTCCAAGCAGAGGTTTCTCCACAAGGACTGTGGATATCTGCAAGATGCTCTGGAAATCCGTTCCATCGTGACCCCCACGCCCCTCACTGCCTCCCACTGGGTGCCTGGGTAAGGCAGCTCGCCCCATCCCCAGCTTCAAGAGATCAGCACTGTGGCACAGTTTCTGAGGACCTCGTCTGTGTGTAGGCAGCAGCCCCCTTCCCGAGGTCGGCCTGGGAACTGGAAAGCACCCAGCCCAGGCTGAGCACCCACCACCTGGCTGTACTTAAGGCCTGCCCTTGACTCTCCGGGGTCACCCCCATGAGTAAGATCCCAGGAAGGTGCTGGGGACCCAGACCCATGGTTTTCACAAGGATTCTAGCAAACCCCTGTAAATAATAAAACTTTCTGCTGAGTAGCACACAGAAGTCACTTCCAAGAACCACCAGACCACTCCACCTGCAGGGTCCGCCCACCGCTTCAGGGTCCCAGAGGCAGAGGCCTCCAGGGAGACCCATCCTCCCGGCTCCCAAGCGCGGACAGCGTCTCTCGGCCCCTCACCAAGGACAGAGTCTTGGGCAGCGAGGACATCATCAGCTTCCCGTCCTCGTCCACGATGTCAAGAGCCAGGGACTTGCGGACTTTCTTGATGGGGCTCCGCCGCAGCTGGGGGGTGGGGGAAGGGGGGAAGGAGGCAGTCAGGGTTGGGCTGGGGCTAACAACAGTGGCCCCACTGAAGACTCCACGCCCAGGGCAGACTTTCCTGCCAGATGCTACAATGGGAGCCAGGACACAAACACCAACCGCCACCCAGACACCCACTCCTCACCCTGAATGAACCCAGCACAGACTCCCCGTCTCTAACAGCCCGACCCCCACCCCAAACAGGCCCCAAAAATAATCATCCAAGTTCCACTAAAACCACCATCCACGGGCAGTAACATGGAGACATAAACCCACTGCTGGCCCTCTACCAACACCGGTGACAGGGCTGCCCCAGCCCCACCCCTGCACCTCCCATCAAGTCGGGGGTCGGGGGTGGGGGTGGGGGGTGGTGAGGCTCTAATACCAGAGAGAGGCCCTGGGACTAACAGCACCCCAACCCTGCAGTGTGCCCCAAACAGGTGCAGTCCTGGCTCAGAACCACCCTGCAACACGGAGGAGAGGCCCAGGAAGGCCCGGGGTGAAGTTCTCTCTGCCTACAACACCCGTGGCCCCAGCCAGGGGGTCCCCCCAGCCTGCCTGCCCACCTCCCCCCACTCGCTCCCCATAACCTCCACCTGCCACCCTGACACGTTCCCATCTTCCTGCCTCTCCTCAGAGGGAGCCTCCGGGGAAAGGAGCACAATGACCTCCCGCTATCAGGAAACCACAGGAAGGGCAGCGGGGGAGAGGCTGGCCTGGGAGAGCGCCTGCCCGGCCTCTGCTTCCAGGAGTCCCTGACCAGGGTGGCTGCCAGCTCTCCACCTCACCTGAACTGACCCTGCTATGGCCCAGACGCCGCCGGCTCCCTCTGAAGGGTTTCTCTTGGAAAACTCCCTGTGTCCCTCTCTGCCATGTGTACCGAGTCACCAGTGTGTCTCTGCCCACTGAACTCCAAGAGGGAGCAACCGCACCCGGGTCTGCACTGCTCTACCCACTGTACCCAGGCTGGACCCACTGCACAAGGGACACAATGCTGAACAGCTAAGCGACAGTTCAGAGGGGAAGAGGAGGCCTCCCCTTGGCCAGTCTCATAGATAACCGTTTGGGGGAGCGAGGGTCTGGGGCAGCTCCACTTCCCGATGTCTCACGTTCACCGATTGTCCTGACGTGCTCCCAGCCACCTTTCATCTCCCTCGGCTCCTGCCACACTGCCCGCCTCGCCGACTCACCCCAGCCTTCCTCTTCTGCTTCTCCGGCCTCACTTGGTCCTCGATGGTGAGCTCGATGCCGGCCTCGGAGCGCAGCACCTCCTTCAAGTCCTCCTCCAGGTGCGGGGTCTGGGGCTGGGCAGAGAGGGCCGCGTGAGGCTCCCAGGCTGTCGGACACGGGCAGAGCCACGCCCCAGCTGTCCAGGGCAGGGCAGGGCAGGAAGGAGGTCCAGTGCTGGGGCACTGGCCTCACGCACACACCATTCACTGTCCTGCCCTGGACAAGCAGACACTGACCTCAACGTACTGAGGGCCACTGTGGGCCAGGAACGCCCCCGGCCAAGTCACCACAGCAGCCCTCACTCAGCTGTCGTCACCCACAGGGTAGAAATGGAGGCTCAGAGAGCGAGCCTGGCCCAGGGTCACACTGCTGTGGAATCAGAACCTGGACACACTCCAAGCCCAAACTCCCTCACCCCCGTGTTCCACACGAATGCGGACGCTGGTTTCCACTCCCCTTTCTCAAGCCTGGGGGTTCCAGGCGACCTCTCGGGCCTTGGGCAGCAGAGACCAGAGAAAGGAGAGCCCCTAAGCAGAGGGAGGGGAGGGTGCACTGACACCCCAGAAGTCACCCGGAGCCCCTGCACTGTCCTCCGATTGCCCAGGTCAAATTGGCAGACTGGCCCTCCCAAGCCCATCTGGAGAGCACACAGATACAGGAGCCAAATCCCCTGGGACAGGAGAGGGCAGCGCTCACTGTGCCTGGCCTGGGCCCGTTTAACTCCAATCAGCGGCACACAGGACGGGCCCCCACAGGCCCACTGCCAGGCCTTCACGAGGACCCGCGCATGAGGGGAGAGGAAGCCAGGGGGCCGCTGCAGACTGTCCACAGGCCAGTGCTTCTCTGGACCAGCCTCTCACCGTCCACTGAAACACTGCCTGCCTCAGAGCCCAAGGTGCCAGCTGTCTTGTCATTGGAAAAGCATGGCCATGTGATGACGGGGAGGGGCAGGAGGAGCTGGCGGTGGGTCCTCACTGGCCACCTCCAGCCCACCCAGGAGCAGCTTTCCCAGGTTTTGTAAAGAACCAGCAGTTAGGCAAAAGGCTTTGGTTACACGAGGAATAATTTGCCTCTTCCCCGAATTAGTCCTAACATCTGAGCGAGTCCTCCTCTGTCCCAGCACCTTCCCGTTTCCTTCCAGCCGTACAATGTGCTGGAAGTATTTAGTTACTTATGAACTCATGTGTTCAGTGTCCTCCTCCACCATCCCACACTCAGCCTCACCAGGATGCTGTGAAGCTGTGTCTCTAACACGTAGTAGGTGCTCAGGAAAGGTCTGAGGAACTGATGAGTAACCCAGCCTCAGTTTCCCCGTCTGTAAAATTAGGATAGCTGCAACTTCCCAGGGCTGCTGGAAGAACCCAATGAGACCTGAGAGGGCTCCGTGAACTGCAAACAGCTGTACGAACCCAGGAGACCACACGCACAGACCTGCCCACGCACATACCAGGGGCTTTAGTGGTCCGTACTTCTCCAGAGCGTTCTTGAACGGGGTCGGTGTGTGGGGAGTGTTGTCCATGGAGTACTTCTGATCTGGGGTTACAAACCTGCCAGGGCCAGGAAGGAGGCTTAGTGACAGGGTTGGGGACAGTCACCGGATGCTCTTCCAGCCCCCCTCCACCTGGACCTCTGGCCTTGGCAACAGGGAATAAACCCGAACACAGGCTCTTGTCCTCTGGCACTGGCCCACCCCCTCCCAACCCGAGAGGGTCTGAATCAGGGACTGAGAGCAAGGAGCCATCCCCGGGGACAGGAAAGAGGCTAAGAGGGTCCTGGAGACCCAGGGGGTAAAAGAATGGCTGAGGATCTGCCTGGTCATCCATCTACAAAGAGGACTTCCCATAAAACACAGAAGGCCGTGGCCAGCAAGGGAGGGGCGGGGGGAAGGAGGGAACCTGGAGGCCGTGTGCCTCCCCCACCTCTCGGAGATCCGGCGGCAACAGCATCGTTAGGGCAAGGCCGGGCAGACACCAGGCGTGAGATGGTGAGGCCAACGCACATGCTGAACTTACCGTCTTCCCCAGTCTCCTCAGAATGACCACAGTGGGGACAGACACGTGGAGGGAAAGCTTTAGCAGAGAGAAACCTAGGCAGGGTCGGTCCGCAGGCAGAAACACTAGGACGCTTCTAGCACCTGCGGCCCCACCAATGTGTGATTTCTGCCTGCGATGGAGAAGCCTGCTGGGGAAGGGACAGAAGAGGCGCCCACGGCCAGGCCGCCGGTTGTGGGCAAACCTTGGCGGATAGCACGTGCCAGACTCCACCTGCAGGAGGCCTGTGTGACCTTAGTCAACAGGAGGCATCACCACAGCCGACTCCCACAGCCTCCCTGGGGCGGGTCCAAGGATGTGAGAAACACCCCAGATTGTGGAGAACTCGGGGGCAGTGGCCAATCCTAGACACGGGTGCCTGGGGCTGCCGCTCCAGCCACTTCCCTGGGCCTGCCAGCCATTCCACAGGGAGGTAAAAGCTAAAGAATACAAACCATTCTTTTCTTCCTTCCTTGGGACTGAGAGATTGGACAGGGATCACCCAGTCAATCGGTTCCCATATCCTTGTTACATTCCACCCCAGATACACACAGAGCCCTCTGTAAGGATGAGCAGACAGATCAGCGCTGGTCAAAAGGAAACACCTCACAGTTCAAACCGCAGTTCAAAGGCATGAATGAATCTGAGACATGGCCCAACATCTATGTGAGACACGGAACTTTTACAACAAACATGAGAATTCTAGAACCTCTTGAAGTCACCGTGTCAGCAAGAACTGACAGGAGAAGCCTGTTAGAGAACGGAGGGAGGCTGACTGAAAAGGAAACACATAAGATGGCTTGGAGATGGAAGAAATGCAATTCTGGAAGCCAGAAGACCCAGCAGATGGGAAAGAGCAGAAAACGGGGAGGGAGGGGTGCGGCTGTCACCCAGAATTCTATACCCAGCAAAAACAGCTTTCAAAAATTAAGGCAACTTTTCAGCTACACACAAGCTGAAGAATTCATCACCAGCAGGCTCCCTCTAAAGAACGCTCAAGGACGGCCTCCAGACAGAAGGAAGCTACCACCAGGTGGAAATAAGGACCTAGGAGGAATGAAGAGCACGGGCGATTTTTGTGTGGAGGAAACTAGAGAAGTTGGAGCAGCAGAAGGAACACAGATGAGAAGGAAAAGGAGAAAGACAAGTGTCACTTCCTTCTGAGGCTGCAGTGTATCTGCTGAAGGGCTCAGATTTAACAAGATTAAAATTAAATTTGGTTGATGATGGTTCTGAACAAGTACAGCTCTTTTATAGGAGTTTGACCATTGTGAACCCTGGGACCCTGGAGTTTTATCAATGATAAGGAAAATCTCAGTGCCCTGCCAGTGTGGTTAGGTGGTTGAGCACCAGACCATGAACCAAGAGGTCACCAGATTGCAGGCTTGCTCTCCGGTTGGGGGCGTGCAGGTTGCCCATCGATAATGCTCCTCTCTCATCCCTGTTTCTGTCCCTCTCCTTTCCTCTCTCTCTAAAAATCAAAAACATTAAAAAGAGAGAGAAAATCTTTGCAAAAGTTTGTATTTTATGTAGCAAAAAAGTGAATCTTGGGACTGACTTGCTAATAGACATTGGTGGAAGCATTTACACTCAGGCAGCTTGAAGAGTCTCCAATGGACCCTGCCAGCGACAAATTTCCACTATGGGGAGCAGAGGAAAATGGGTTACCACAAGAATGGTGTGACACTATACCACCAAGACAGCGTTATTTAACATGGATTTCATGAAATGAATGAAGACAATAGCTTTCTGATCTAACACGAATGGACAGCAGGTTTGACTTTCCAAAAACTTTTTATGTTAAAATAATTCCATTTTTGACATTTGCAATGAAAGACCAAATGTTACCAGAGATCACAGTTTGAGTGC